GCTCTGACTTCTTCCATTGCCTCTACCTCCAGAAGAGAACAAGAGTTACCTGAAGACCAGGGGCTTTTTTCATGTCTGCATGTGCTACACTGTCCTGTAACTAATCAATATATGGAAAAAACTTCAGATGTACTACAAAATAAATGTGCTTCAGATGAAAGAGTAGTGGTAGATGAGCTCAATAAATCTTCAGCAGTCTGAATATCCATATATGAAGGCAAAATAAACATGTAAATGGAACAAAAAAAACCATAAAGAAAGGAGCAATTGCAGACAGTGTAGTGTGAAGTCACATGGAGACTTTTGGACAGCCACTGCATGGCCAATCTTACATTTTATTTCACTTGTGAAGATTAAAAAAACCAAAAAAAAGTGTATATTCCACATCATGAACACCCTCAAGATACTGCTGAGGTTAACAAAGGCCACATGAACATGTACAATGGCAGAGAGACCAATTTGTCAGCCACTGAACATTCAAGAATTAAGCATCTTGAAGTCAGAAAGACAGCCTCAAATGTCACAAGCTTTGCTAATATTGGAAAAGTCTTACTGACATATTTGAAGGCAGTGAACAGCCATGTTCATCCGAACTTTTTTAACTCATGGGCCTTGAGGGGTCCCACCTTTTATTCCCAGGTGAGATGGGATGTAGTGTTGCCAGTGTTTTCTCTCAGAAGTCTTCTTAGGGCTTTGACAGAACTCAGCTCCAAGAAGACTCAAATGCACAAATGTCTTTTTCTGATAGTCTAGCTGCACAGGGGGCAAGACATCTTAAATTAGGGGAGATGATGGCTATAATATGAGCTGGAATAGCTTTTGAACCTGTGGTGATGACTACAGATGATCATTTGAAGCTGGCATTCTCCAGAAACCCTGAAGGTCTGCCCTAAGGACATACTCATACTTGAACTGAGTTGGGATGGATTCACAGTACAGTGTAATTTGCAGAGTAGAACAACTGTTTGTATTCAGCAACCATTATATTTATAGTAACATTTAATTGTGTGGTAAGATGCATGAAATGATATATCCTGAAAGCATGCTTCTCCCTTCTCACTTTCTCCATCTTAATGTTGAGCCTTTGAGACCTTTGACAGTTCATAGGATGTCTAATTTCTTTTCATTACATAATCTAGCCATGGAAAAAAATGAAATCAATCTTTGGCAATTGCTGTGAAACCCTTCATGTTGTCACCTATCCAACTGTAAAACTAGATGAGAAGAATAGTCTACATAACTGTCAGAACCACAGAATTTGAAGGCATTTGTTTAACCAACTCTCTTCTCAAAGCAGTGCGAAGTAGAGCACATTTCTTAGGCCTTCTTCAGTCCAGTTTTGAATGTTTCCAGGGAAGAAGGCTCTATGACCTCTCTGGGAAATTTGCTCCAGTGTTTCACTGCTCTTCCAGTAAAAAGGGGTTTTCTTATGACATTTAAATGGAATTTCTTGTGTTTCAACTTGTTTCTGTTGCCTCTTGCCCTTTCATGAGGGGCCATGAGAAGAGGCTGCCTCTGCCTTCTTTGGAGACACTGGTCACTTATTTATCCATGTTGATAAGATTCCCACTAAACCTTCTCTTCAGGCTGAACAGTTCTGGTTGTCTCAGCCTGTCCCCACAGGACAGATGCTCCAGTGTTGTAATCATCTTTGTGACCCTTTCCCGGGCTCTCTCTTCAGCAAATATGTGTATTACTTGTTGGGTGGAATCTAACACTTAGACTTGCTCCACTAACTCAATATCTTTCTTGTACTGAGGAGCCCAGCACTCCAGATATGTCTCTATAGGGTTGAGAAGAGGGAAAGGATCACGTTCCTCAACCTACTGGCTAAAGCAGCTCAGGATCCCACTGGCCACCTTTGCCACAAGAGCACATTTCTAGCCATTTCTGGCCATTTCTTGGGCATTTCTTGGCATCCACCAGGACTTCCAGATCCTTCTCTGCCAAGTTGTTTCTCAGCCAGCTGGCCCCCAGCATTCAAGGAGATCATTCCTGCCCAAGAAGAGGACTCGTTTCTTCCCTTTGTTGAATGTGGTGATGTTCCTGGCAGCCCATTTCTCCAGCCTGTTAAGGTTCCTCTGAATGTCAGCACACCCATCTGGTGTGTCATCCACTCCTCTCCGTTTAATATCCTTTGTGAGCCTGCCGAGAGTCCACTGTAGCTCACGATTCAGGTTATTAATTAAGACGTTATACAGTGTTGACTGCAGCATAAACTACTGGTGGCTGGCCTCCAGATGGGTTTTGTGCCATGAACAAATCCCTCTCAGCTCAGCCTGCATTCAGTTCATCTCACTGGCCACTTTTCCAGCCTGTACTTCCTGAGTTTGTCCATGAGGATATTATGTCAGGCCGCGCTGGAAGCCTTATAAAAGTCAAGATAAACAACATCAGCTGCTCTCCCTTCACCTGCTGAGCCAGTCCTTCTTTGTATGTTGGTCAGGTATGATTTCCCCTTTACAAATCTCTGCTGTTTGCTCCTCATCTCCTTCTTGTCCATAATGTGTTTGGAAACAGTTTCCAGGAGGAGTTTCTCCATTGCTTTCCCAGGCTTTGAGCTGAGACCGATTGATCTGCCAATCTGTGTATCCCCCTTCCTGCCCTTGTTGAAGACAGGAGTGACATTTTCTTCTGTAGAACCCTTGGGAATTTCCCTTGATCTCCATGACCTTTCAGAGATAATTGTGGGTAGCCTCACAATGACATTGGTCTCCTCCATCATTACTTGTGGGTATATGCCATCAGGTCCCATATTTTTCACCTGTTTAAACATTCTCCAGCCTGATCCTCCTCCCCTGAGGGTAATAGTTGATTGTTCCAGAGTTTCTTGCTGGAAAAATCAGGTATGGTAGTTAAAGTGAGCTTTCTTCAGCAAAGACATTACAGGTGAAAGAAAGGAGCAGGTACATTTTTTCATAGAAATAGAAAGATTTCCTCCAGTGTCTTGCTTTAAGGTAATTGTATAGTGGTTTAGGGCTTCCTGGACTTTAATGGCATTAAATGGCAGGAATGTTGCAGTAAATATCTGTTATGGTCACACTTTCAGCCAGTTTGGGTTAAAAATACCTCCCCCAAAAGAGCGATATCTAAAGCAGAAGAAGAAGATTCAGCAGGCTTTGATTGATAGCTACTGATGGACAGAATTTCTGAAAATCACTCTGACAGAATGTCCTCCCACTTATGATCCAAGAAGCCTCATATTAACTCTTAGTCACCTCTCTTTTCCAAGCTTGAATTTGTGAATCAACATCATGAAAATGTGGCGTAAAAATAACCAGCTAAATATTCCACATTTAGGTTGTAAGTAATACAAGAAAAAAATAAGAGGCTACTTTATAATTATGAAAACTGTATGCTAAGTTGCCTGACGGAAACATCAGTAGTGATTCAGGCTAGTGGAGTTCTGTTCCCTTGGTCATGCTGGTATACAGAAGGTTGATGTCTACAGGTTGAAGCTTTTCCTTTGTTGCTTCTCTTGCAAGGCATTTTCCTGAATTCATCTTAATTCTGATTTTGGGATTGAGAGACCTATGTCAACATTTCACTAGTTGTTAACCACTACAAAGAGAAGGAAGTATGTGGGTAACATTTTTTCCTTGCAAAGCTGCTACAGGCTGCTAGTGTGGCAAAATCTTGTGAATATGATAAAGAGAAACAATTTACCACTTGTGATTTGCTTAAGCACTTGTGAATTGTTCTGCATATTTCAGCGACCAAGAGATTTGGACATGGCTAATGCAATGTAACAGTAGTATTATGTTGTGTGCTCAATAGCTGTGCAGTGAAGAAAAAAACTTGCTGCATCATCAGAAGCACTCTTGATGGGATGTCCTAGGCATGTTACTGGTTAGGTTGATTTATTGATGAAAGCTGTTGGCTTTGCAATTATAATGGAACTGTTGCCAAGCCCAGAAATTTCACTAGGCTTATTGATCCTGAGATGTAGAGAACTTGTTGGCACAAGCAACTTACTTGAATGCCTGAGCTCCAGAAAAGACTGCAACCATTATCCCTGTTCTGTGAAAATCCAAATCAGTCCCTTGGAGGAGATACCACTTAGGTTTCCAAAGTCACAGCAACAACACTCCAAAATGCTTTTTGGAGTTTGCTGCAGCTCCCTGCTCTAATGAGATAGCAGAGTCAGGCCAGGTCAGGCGGCACAGGACACTGGGGATCCCAATTTACATTTAATTCCTATATCTAATGGTCCATCCTGTCTCACCAACTTTTGTGATTTCTCAGGTTATTTTCATGCACAGTCTCTGGTTTCTTTCATACTCTCTATCTTGGTGAATGTCAGATCCTCTTTTAAGCCCTGGTGGGCCCAAATCCCTCCGAGAACATGTTGGATTTGCAAGTCTTCTTATGGTTTCTGTCTGTCCTAAAACCACAGAGAGCCTTCTGTCCAACAAGGTAAGCTATGTCCCATTATTCTTTTGAAGTTGCTGATGATGGGCATTCTTCTTTAGTGATTCCTTCATCATTTTGGACAGAACCTACTGTGATGCAGCTGTGCCCTGGAATCCATGCATTAACAAAATAGTGTGTTGTTCATTATCAGCTCAATGAAACATTGCTGAGACAGACACTGAGAGGGTAGGCTTGCTTTGCAGTGTTAATTCATCTGCTGAAGTATGAATGCCATGCAAGAAGAAATGAGTTCAGAATGGGGAAAATGTTGGAGCAGAAAAATGATGAGATGGCATCTATGTGGAAGCAGATGAAGATGGGAGAGCCCAAGAGGATCATTAATGTGCTGAAACAGGAGCCAGATGTCAATAAAGTCAGCTTCCCTGGTCATTTGAATGCTGATTCTGTAGTCTGTGTTGATGGGAAAGACTTGTTAGGCAGCCTGTTTATGAAGTTCGGGATTGCCCATCTTAATCACTTGTTAGGGGTACTTGACACTTTCCACTGCAGGTACTGTCAGCTGAAGGGAAAATAAAATTTGAGGAACTGGTTAGAACAAGCCAAAGTTTCTCTTTTTTCATTGAAAGCCCTTCTGCTGCTCTTTTACCTGAGGTGAAACAATCTGCCTAAAACATCTAGATCTCCTATTTTAAAGCAGAAAGACACAGCAGGAGCCCTGCAGGGATGTTCGGAGCTCTACTCCTGTGGCACAGGAAGGAAGAAAGGAATGAAAGCAGGAAGGCTGTGGTCTGGCTCATGCAGGGCCTGATCAGTGCCTGCTGGAGTAAGTGGTTTTGTTTCAGATGAAAGGAACAGGAGTGCATGTGGGGATTTACTCACATGCACCCTGGCGCAGGCAGAGTCAGAGCCCACCAGCCCCACACACAGCTCAGTCCAGGCCTTGCTGCTGAAAATTTCTGCGTCCAGCTACTGCATTTTACCAGGAGAAATCAACCCTAAGCTCACCAGAAAACCAGCCTGTGACGGAGGAAAGAGTGTTTGCTCTTTGTGGCTCTCAGGACCTCTGTCCTGTCCATGTGGAGTGATAGCTCAACATCAAAGTGAAGGAAGTTTTGACAGACAAGGTACTTCTCAGGTGGCCTCCATTTCAGAAGACTTATAAAGATGCTGAGAAAGCTGCTTGTTTGGCATTCCTATAGCATTCTTGTGTTTACCTAACATTAACATCTACAATTATTAAATATCCCATCTACAAATAAGGTGCCACCCAACACCCCTGATAGAACAGAGCAGGTGCAAGGATTGCAGTTCCAGACCCTGTGTCTCACTTCAGTAATAATAATAATAATAATAATAATGGCCAGTCTTCACGAACGAAGATCTGGGGAAAGGTCTTTTACCTTTCAAGCCTGCGCAATGGATTTTTTAGGTGAGACACAGCCTGCGCTGAACTGAGCCCACCCTTTAATCCTAAGGTTCATCTGCCGGGGCCAAGCAAGCTTGGACAATGGCAGTGAGGTCCTCAGGACGTAGGTTTGTTTAGAGTGACCTTCTCATAGATGGATGGCCTCACAGGGCTAACGGGTTCCATCTCCCCGGGAGGCCGAGGAATCGAACCCGGGTTGCAGCAGTGAGAGTCCTGCATGCTAACCACTAGGCCAGCAGGGGTACAAGACAAACACACAAGGCAAAGTCTTCAGTTTTGTAAAAATAAGTAGTTTGTGCATACAGTAAAGGAGAAAAGGCATGTATTTCAGGACAAGTGGCTTTTAAAAAGCATAAAAAACACATGGAAGATGTTTCTGTTTGTTTGTACCCTGCAGTGAGTTGTTTTATGTGCCTCTGTCCCTCTTCACTCTGCAGAGGGTGCCAGTTCCAAACATTTTGCCCCTGGCCTTGGAAGGCAAACTACCCAGGGGCAAGATAATTTATCATTTACATAAGACTCAACAATTCTTTCAGAAAGACCAGGGGACAAACTCTTATTTCAGTTGTAGTGATACAGATTTGGACCATAAAGATTCTGGTGATCCTGGTTTAATCTGAATTTGGGCTGGTAGCAATAAAATGAGATGCACCTAGCAGGAGGGGTTCTATGGCTCATGCCCTCAGCTGATGTAAACCAGAATAACTCCACAGAAGCTGATGGAGACTTTTTAACTCTGCTAAAGATCTGACCATGCAAGCCAGCAGTTTCTTGTCCAGTTTGCACTGGTGTTTGCTTTGGCCTTACTGTGGGACAGGAACGCACACATACCTTCTGCTTCCATATGCAAGATGAAGCAGAGGACGGTCCTCTGGCTCACCCCTATTCCACAGCAGCCTGGACCACATCAGTACAGTATACATGAGGGGCAGGTCACTGGAAAACATGCAAGTGTCTCAACTAGCCTTAACTGGTGCGGTGTTGACTTCAGGACAGCTGGGAGAGGATTTATGTCCTTCAAGAATCAGACTTGACTATTGATTGAATGCTCCTTTGCCAAAAAAGAGTGACTCCTAGCCTAGGTACACTTCACTTATTTCTGTCCAGTAAGGTCAGGTAGCATGACTTTTCTGGTAGAGTTGTTCAAGATGAGTGCTTGGGAACAAGGAGAGATTTTCACTTCCACTGTTGAACTGGAATTGCACAACTAGGGATGCACATTGCAAACAAGTAGCCAGGACAGCACAGGTAAGCTGTAGGCAGAAGAATCCTTGCAAAGACTTGAAAAAAATGGAAATATGCAATTCCCAGCAAATCCTAAAAATTACCCAGAATTATGTTTAAATGACTGGTCCCATAGAGTTTTCTAAAAGTTTGAGCAGGAGTGAATATTAGTGAAGAAGTGCACAACAGAGTTTTCAAATACACTGAAATTTATCTTCTTTCTTAGGGAAAGGGACTGTGCTACCAGCCCTGCTAAAATGATGTAACTCTGTGTGAATGTCAGAGCATGTGCTATTTAAACATTTGGATATATATTTATTTAAAGTGTATGTGGCATTATCTGTTGATATATTATTCAACTATTCCTTGATCAATATCATCTGTATGGCCTTCACCCACTCTCATGGAGGTCACAGGCAGGACTACAAAAGTGGGATTACATCTGTGTGAAATAAGAGTAAGATCTGAAATGTGGCTACTTTGTCTGTTACCCAAATACAACTTGGATCCTGCTGCAGGAGAGAGATCTTGCAGCAGCACCACACAGCCTCTCTCTGGCATTTTGACATCTTTATGGAGCGCCAGTGGACAGACGATACCCTCCACCAATGAGCAGCGCTTGATGCTTCAGAAGAAGCTGTGGCCCTCTGTGTCTGCAACTTATAAGGACTTCCAAGAAAGTGCCTGAAGTTGTACAATTAACAAGGAATTACTCCCGAGGGAATTCCGTTCCTCATCTCAGCTGGTGTTCAACTTATCTGTGAAAAAGATACACACTCAGCCCGTATTCTTTTTATCTCAGTTTAGTTTTACAGCAATTAAAAATCTTCGGTGAGCCTGAAGAGCCGTATATATTTATTTTTGGTCTCAATGAGACAGGAATACAGGCCTGCTGTGTGAGCTCTGGCAAGCAACTCAGCTGTGTGCGCCTTGGTTTCCCTTCTGACTCCCAGGCTGTCTTGTTTATCCCTGAGCCTGCTGGATGCCCCCACTCTGTGCCCACACTGCCCTAGAACAACGGGACCTTGATGTTGCCAGGGTCCTGCAGACGCCATTAGGATACAGATTGCTAATCATTAGTGGGAAGACTAAGGTACTAAGAGTGTTCTTCAGTCATAGTGTATGTAGTTTGGGACCGTTTGCCAATCCTTGAGGTAATATTAATTTTAAAGAATCTTAACATGCAACATTGTTGGCACTAGTGATTTTATCATGAGTCTCCCGATATTTGATGTTTCTTGTCAAGATCCACTTCCTGTAAACACGAGCATCTTTGCTTGCATTTTGAAACAGGCAAATTTTTAGCACCTACTATAACAGTGAGACTGGGAAATGTTCCCCAAGTATGCTCTAGAGACACAGAAAGGCAAAGAAAACCACCTTAAAACATGTTAATTAAAAAGAAAAACAAGGATTCCCCTCCCCCCATGATTTGCATGTCTCATATTGTTTACATTGTGCAAAACTATGTCTTGGACTGGGATAGGAACCCCCCAGTGGTTCTGAGGGTAAAAAGACAAAAGTTGACTGATTTTAATATCACAGCTATGGGCTAGGTTGGTACTGTCCCTCTAATTGTATCCATTTTGTTATACTTTTTACCACAGTTTATTTTTAACAGCCTAAAATTTAAAACTTTCACCCCTTGTCATTCTCTTTCTTAATATCCTTGGGGTTTACTTTTTTTCATTTTGTTTCTGCTCTCACCTGCTTTTATTTTTTTTCTTCAGTCTTCATGATGGCTTCAGACTTGGTACAGGTTGAATTTACATCAAGGAAAAGCATGAAAGGCATGAAACAGACATCAGTGGTACAGAGAGCAGATTTCTGTTACTGTTTTCCAATGTGATCCCAAAAGAGTGTGGAATAGTTAAGGAAGTGTTCTGGGCTTATTTATGCTTTGCTCTGAGTGTCGCTGGTTGAAGATTTCCCGTTAGTTGAAGTTCCACAGGCCACTGTGCTGTTTTAGTAACTAATCTATTTCAATACTTTTTACGTAGACAGGCCAACAAATTTCCAAACAACCAGAAAGCTTTGGCAAATAATGCTGAAAGCAGAGTATTGGACTTATACAAAGCAGCCTGTGCTACTCCAGTATCTTCTTTCAGGGCTGGACTCTGACTGGTCAACTGACTGTAGTAAGACAGCTGCTTGCCAAGGAACAAAAATCCTTCCTGGAGGGAGAGGAAAGTCATGATGGGGACTTGGAGAAGGGAAAGCTTTCCAAAGGGGCTAGGGACTTATTGTGATGCTTGGGTGCTGAGTGGCCTCTTTCATCAAAAGACTTTTGATATGTCTTATAGAAGCAGTAAATATGACCTGTTTTTTTACAGAGAGGAAACTGAGGCACAGAGAGGCATCTCACTTTGCTGAAGGTCACTGAAGTCCCACTCAGCTGCTCTCTGCTCCACTACAGAAGGGTGGACTGCCAGAGTGTTGTGCAATCAGGAGTATGGTAGAGAGGAGAGGAAAGGAAGGGAAAGGGAAAGAGGGGAAGGCAAACATTCACAAGGGATGCCTAGAAGAGGGGTGTGGTGTTTTGAGATATGTCTATGTGGATTCATGAGCCAAGTGGGCAGTAGCTGAGGTAGGAGGGAGAGTGGGAGCAGCATCATGAAGAGGGTCAGTTTTTGTTTTCATCCACTTGAATGAGTTTCAGTGGTGGTTATTAATGTTTCAGCAAGCACTGATGGAAATGTTCTGTAGAAACCCTTTAGTCTACTGATATGAGGGTCTGTTTTCTTATTCTCAAATCATGTCTTTGAAGAAATAAAATTTCTGTGTTTGGTATTTTGGGTAGGATGTGATTTATGTCCCCTTAACTTTGCTGGCATTTTTCTTTTTTCTTTTGTTTCTGTTTCTCTTTTTCTGTTTTGTTTTGGGTTTTTTTGTTTGGTTGGTTTTGGTTTTTGTTTTATTTTGGTTTTTGGGTTTTTTTTTTGTTTTTCTGGGGGGGGAGTTGGTTTGATTTGGTTTGGTTTGGTTTC